ATTGTGTTTTTCAAAATATCTTTGAGCATTCCTCTGGTTTGCCTCAGATTTCCTGTCTAAATATCATTCAGCCCTTTAGGAGCACGTCAGAGCAATTGTCTCTTGAATTCTTGGTCTAATCGATAAGACACATGTGGCTGATTTTTCAAAAGACAGCAATTTAGAAATATGTACTAGCATGAAAGAGACTAGAATGATCTTTCATACTCTATCCCTGCTATAGTCTTTCAGAAATGTCATTTGCTGTGTTAGATTTTATGAACTCCAGAGATACCAACTTAACTCATCACAGGTGCACATAATCTAAAGAATCCTAGTGAATGAAGTCCTAGAAAAGAAATTCAAAAATTGCAAGGCCAAAAATTTTCCTCTACTCATGCATCATCCTGAGGCTCCTGAAGAACTCAAGGCTCACCCGTACTTGACCTCAACTTCCCTGGAACTCACTTCTCTATATCCAGTGTTCATCTTAGCTGAATTGTTAGTTATAGTAATATTGATGATTTTGAAGAGTTTTGATAGGACACTAGACAAATTCAAAATGCTCCTTTTTTAAAATTTATTTGTATTTTATGATGACTTACCAGAAAACAGTGATTATTCTGTTTGATTTAGGATACCAATGTTTGAATTGGTATTACTATAAACTGAGACTGAGAATGGCGTAGGCAGATAATCAGATCTTCCTTACTGCTTCCCCCTGCAGTTATTTATTCTCCTCACAAGAGAATGAAAATTAAAAGCCAGCTTCATTTTGGAATATAAACATGCAAGTGCAGGTGGCTCCCAGCATTATATTTCCTGAGAAAATATTTATGAATTTTTTCCTTCTCATTAGGGAAAAAGAAAACAAAAGCTTTAGTACAAAAGAGTTTCCAGGATAACAGGATTGCAGATCAGGAAACACAGAGTGGTAATCCTGGAACTTGAATCTTGATTTGCACAAGATTACCTGTATGTTCCTTAAATATGTTGGTCTTCATGTCTGGCAGACACGTCGAGATAACACTTTTCCAGTTGGAAACCATGGTCTGATAATAATATATTCAAAATATTAACAAGTTTACATAAATCTATTTCTGAAGTTCTAAATTTTTATTGTCTAAGACAAATTTGGAGGCCAGAGAGAAGAGTTCACTTCAGCAGTCTTCTCTGCTTTTATGCAGCAAGCTGATCTGGTGGGAAATGAATAGTTGTTAAAAACAAGGCAGGAAAAGAGAGTACATGCTATTCTTTGCAGCTCTTCCATGTCTTTTTGTGCTTGCTATTGTTCTCATGCATGGCTCATTCTGCTTAGAATGTAAAACTTTTAAGACACAGAGGCGTCTGTCTCCATATCCCTAGCATGACCAATTCACTTCTTGGCACAGAAACCAATAGGATGTACTCATCAACAGTGCTTGGGGAGAGATCATGTTATTGTATTTTAACATTAACTGCTTATTAGGGGTAAAACTGCTAGATTTTTTTAAGTTATGGAGAAATACACCTAGTTTTTAAGAATGCAATGTTGAACAGAAAGTCTTGAAAACCTTTTGAAATGTTAACAGAACCTGATGTAGATTTCTGTTCTACCCTCTTTATTTTTCAGGAGTGCAGCAGAGTTGGTTTTATTCTGTCTGGTGTTCATATCAGGTGTTGAGCAGGATAGAAACCAGTGGCTGTTTCGAATCTGAAGTCATCGAATCAAATTAATTCTATTTTTTCATTCTCTTCCCAGGACTGCAGCTCATATTAAGACTTTTATAGGTCCCCTCTGAAATCCTTTCAAAAGGCTGTGGTCAAGTATATTCTTTGAAAGGAAATATGTGGTAAAAAGAACTCCTGAAAGCTTAAATACCTGGTCGTGTTTCAACAAAGAATGTCAGGAATTCACTTCACAGGTGGGATGATTTTACCTCTGGAAATTCAGCTCTGAGTTTACAGGCTATTACTGCAGAATTGGTAGTAATTGGGGAAAATTTGGCAGATGGAGAGATTCCTGAGACTGATGTGTAAACAGAACTGCATAAACAATGTCTGATGCTGCAGTTCTGTTCTCATAATCTGTCTTTGGTGTTACTTGAAAGGAAGCATGTCCTGCTCTTTAAATAAGACTGTGTTGCTTCTTATTTGCAATGCCCCAGCAGTCACTCACAGCACTAGTGAGAGCTGCAGCAGAACACATGTGAAGACTGTCATCAATTTTTGAAGTGTTTGACTTGTACCACTTTGGGTTAAGCTTTTACTTCGGTTTGAATCCAACAACTTTTTGCACTGCAATTCAAACTACTGGTTTTACTGCTTCACCCAGAGTTCAGCACAAACCCCAAACCACCAATTGTCCAAAACCATCTGAATAATGTTTTATGTTACACGTTATTTGGTATTTATTTCTCTCTGTTTTTTCACCTTTGAATTCCAAATTCCCAATTTTTCATTCTAAAACTTCATAGGTGTGTCATCTTGATTTAAAATGTCACAGAACCAAAATTAGCTCTTTGATTTAGATTCAAACACATTTGGTAAATATATCTTTCACAAAGGTTGGTGAAATTAATTCATTTGCTTAATGTTTTAGAACTTTTTTCATCCTCTCTTTTATAAAGAAATGTTGTGCATGTTTTCTCTGTACCAAATACAACTCAGGAGATGACAGTTTGTGATACTCCTTCCAAAGGAAATTACTTTTTGTCACAAAACAGCCTCCATCCAAAGGAATCTCAAAACAGAGTGCTTTAAAAATCTCTGAGAAGAGAGTACAGTTTTGATATTCCATGCTAATATGGTAAAAATCTTCCCTTATAATGCAGTCTGTAATGTTAATGTAACCAGAATCTGTGCTGCTAAACCAGCACTTATGAGAGAGCTGTGCATGAAACCAACAACACAGCCATCCCAATTTTTCTGGTAATTCCTTTCTTGTGGATTCCTGAATTCTCAGTTTAGATTTCATGCTTCCAGACTCCTGGAATAATGATTTTATTTTTTTTTTTCCTGTTGTTTTCTGATATGAGCAGCAAACTTCTTACTTTACGCTGCATAATTGTCTCACTAATCTTTTGGGGTTAGCAGGTCTATCTAAACTCTTCAGAAAAATCTGACATATTTAGATGGGCTTATTCTGGGTCCTGCACTATTACTGTTATTCAGTACATAGTCGAAGGCAAGAAAGTGCACTGCCCTTTGTACTGGCACAAAGAAGAAAACTGCTTTGTGATATAACTGTGAAGGCATCTGTATTAAAACTACATGAGGTAAATTGGTATTTTACTGTTACACTTCGAAAAGTCTGAATCATTTAGCTAAAGCATCAGTAAGAAAATCTGTATCATAGAAAATTCTCTTTGGAAACATGTTTTGAATGTATTGTGTGTGTGTGTGTAAGAAATAATCTTGACTGAAAAATGACTGTGAAAGAACTTTAGAAGGCCTAAAGAAACGTGAAGTCTTCCAGAGAGACAAAAGTGTAATTTCTAGAAAGAGATTTATGGTTGATTCACCAGCTATAGAACTGCTTTGTTTCAACATATTGCCCTTTCTATTTTTGTTTGCTGATAGATGGGTTTAATGGAATTAAATATTCCCTGCTGAACTTCACAGTTATATGAGCCCTAACTTAAAAGCAATCCCTTTTTCATCTTAATAGTTTTAAGATAGTCTTGCTTCCTTACTTTGCCCTGGACAGACACCTGGAGGAAGTTTGCCAAGAGCTGTGAAGCTTGTGTCTGGTTGCCTGAATAGTCTTTGACCTCAGAAGGACATACACTGTCTTCAGCAAGAAAAACTTTTGAGAACCTAGCCTCAACTGTTAGAAACATAAGTCCGTGTACCATAAATGAGTATTTATTGCCTCCTCCTTTTTCAACTTTTGTCTTCTTTTTAGTTCTAGTCAAGACTGTGTGCTTAAGTATGAAGAAATTATTTGGTCAAAATGAATAGTTTTTTTCTTCAGTCATCAGGATTTGTAGCTATCTGAAGATAAAATTAGAATTGGTCACATAATCTAAGTTCATGAATACATTTTTGAGCATCTTCTATTAATAACAAAATAGAACTGTGTTGCTATATGGTTCAATCAGTTTATAAAGTGTCTATCTTTAGGCACTTGGAAGTGTGTCTTGAAAATTTCTTCCCTTGTGCCTTTCAGCTAACTTCCCTACCTCACCATCCCCATACTCAAAAACTACTGGTCCCTTACCGCTCCCTGTCCCAACAGACAGAAACACCCACCAGGCAGTATAGCCAGGAGGACTGAATGGTGCTTAGATAAACAGAGAGACATAGTAGACAATTTCCTCCCTGTCCTGTGGTAGAATTCTCTCTGTCACATCATCCTCTCCCACCCAAAAGGGCATTGCATTTCCAGCAGTGTCTTGCTTCTCTTAATCAAATTTTAGACCTAGACACGATGTCTTCCATTTGCTGCTATTGCTAAGTGCATAATTCTTGGAATAAAGATGGTAGGAAGCCTCACAATAAAGAAATTAATAGCATGTAATTTAATGCCTCCTTTGCTGCTTTTTTGGGAAAAATTCTTCTGGAATTGTCCTTTGTGGTGAGTCATCTCTGAGGACAGATCACAGAAAGAAATCAATGTTTGCTGGGAGAGGGAAAGGATGTATGTTAAAATACTAATAGTGAAGTCAGTGAAAATCTTGTCCCAGATAACTTTAGCACAGCAACATCTGTGTGATTTTCTTGAAATCACTCAAAAGGAGATAAAAACCTGTTTATGCAAAGAGTATCAACCACCTTATCATGTAGCAATGAGCTAGATGACCTCCTCTTTTTTTTTTTTTTTGTTTTGGTTTTGTTTGTTTGTTTTTGTTGTTGGTTTGGTTTGGTTTGGTTTGGGGGTTTTTTGGGGTTTTTTTGGTTTTTTTGTGCAGCTACTGCTTTCTCTTGTCTGTTTTGGAACACTGAGGTCTGTTCAGCAGTTACTTCTGAGTGAGGGCTGTGTGGGTGTCTCCAGCACCAAGCCTCCAAATGCGAGGACTAAAACAACTTCCTTTCCCTCCTGCCGTGACTCGGATTTGAACCGAGGTTGCTGCAGCCACAATGCAGAGTACTAACCACTATACGATCACGGCGAGCTACAGTGGGTATGTCCAAGGCACTGTGTTTTCTGTCCCCTCTAGCAGAGCTGTGCAGGCATTGCCACCTAGTGTGGGCCAGCTATAATATCCCATGTGTGGGCATCCTCCCCGGAGTGACCACTACCCTTGAGGCACCCTCGGGCATCCCTCGGCCAAAAACAGCGCTGCTGACAGAGTACATGCTGAAGACAGGCACAAATGCTGTAGTGGCAGAAAAGTATTCCTTCTCCTTTTGACAATTGCAGTCTGGTGAGGAAATCTTTTGTTGCCTTCTGTTTGACCAACATCTATCTTCAAATATACAATAATTTTGGTCTCTGAGTCTTCTTTCTGTTTTCAAATAGTGATGGGGGGAAATCTGGTGAAAGGACTTTAAAAGTTACATAACTAATTTAAAAGCTGTTAAAAGGGAAGCATAAAAACACACGTTCCACTCCTGCTCTAAGCCAGATTTCAACCAAGGTTGCCATAGCACATAGTATCAGGCACTGGAATGTCACAGCAAGTTGGCACATTGTGACAGGTTTTGAAGAGACACGGCAGACAAATATCAATTCCAGTAAAATAACAAATGTTGACAGCAGTGAGTCATTAAAGAAGGATTTCTGTTGAGGCTTGAGAGTTAATGTTTCAAAACACAAGTGTTCTTAGTAGAGTTATTCTAATAATTGTCTTATTAAAGATCTTATATCCACTATTTAGTCTCACTTTTTAATTCTGTGTCTGACAGCAATAATAAGCAAAGATTGATAATAGTAAGTATCTTTACAATTTTGTTAATTAAAAAAGTGGAAGGAATTGGGGGATACACCAGATGGTTGCGCTGCCATCCTGAGGGACCTCACAAGCTGAAGAAAGGGGTTGACAGGAACTCCATGAAGCTGAACAAGTGAAAGTGTCAAACCCTGTGTCCAGGGACGAACAGCCCCATGTACCAGCACATGCTGGGGGCTCGCCAACAGGAAAGCAGCTTGGCAGAGAATGGCCTGGGAGTCTTGATGGACACCAAGATAATCATGAGCCAGCAATGTGCCCTTGAGGCAAGGAAGGACAAGAGCCTCCGTGGCTGTATCAGGCAGAACAGTACAGCAGGTCAAGGGAGGTGACCCCTCCTCTGTCCTCAGCACTGGTGAGACACATGTGGGTGGTGTGCCCAGTGCTGGGCTCCCCAGACAAGAGAGACATGGACATACTGGAGCGTGTACACTGAAGAAACATAAAGATAATGAAGGACATGCAGCTTGCAGAGTGGAGCTAGGACTTTTTACGCTCAAGAAGAGCAGGCTTAGGGGGGATTTTATCACTATGCATAAGTACCTTACGGGAGAGTAAAGAAGTTGAAGCCAGCTTCCTTTCTGTATGCAGTGATAGGACAGAAGGTGATGGGCACCAGGTGAAATAAATAAAATTCCTTTTAAATATAAGAAAAACTTATTTACTGTGAGAGTAGTTGAACACCAGATCAGGTTGCCCAGAGAGGCTGTGGAGTCTCCAATTTTGAGATATCCAAATCTGACTGGATATGGTCCTGTGCAACCAGCTGTGGCTAACACTGCTCAAGCCACTGTGGTACTAGAGATTTCCAGAGGGCCGAGTCAGCCTCAGTGATTCTGTTTCTCAGGAAAGGAAAAAAACCAACAAGAGCAACCCAAACCTCTTAACAAAAAATAAAATGTCAGTGCTTGTAAACATTTTTTTCTTAACATTTCTGTAATGTACACTTGTGCTTAACAGCACAGGCAGTTGAGCAAAGGGAATTCATGAGTGCCAAAAAATGGGATACTTGAAAAAAGATTGACAACTAAATACTTGAAAGCGTGACAACCTTGCCTGTCAAAATCCACAAAATCTGTGTGAGCCAGAGAAGTAAGCAATAGCTAGAGGTTGAGTCTCTTATTTGGCACAAAAACACTTAGGAAATCTTCAAGTGTCTTCTCCTATGTTTTCAGAATTGACAAAGGCTTTGTAACATGGATCTTGCCCAGCACGTGTCCTATATTTTTTCTGGGTGTTAGAGGTGCCAAGTCATAGGTACGTATGTTTAAATGTATAGATTAGCAGATTGCCTGGAATTTTCTAGCTTCTCTTTTTGCCAAGGTGAATAAATATAGATTACATTGTTTCAGCCAAATTCCATGTGATTCTGAAAAAAGGGCGTTGGCTATCTACTAGCTGCAAATAAATAAAAATATGTCAGTTTACCACTGTATTCAGACTACACACCTTTTTTTTTTTTTTTAAATAACTTCACCCAATGTGGCTGGTTGTATGTGCTGGAATAATAATAGGAATATCCACAATCATGCTGCAAATTAATTCCATTTATAGGATTTTATCTTGTCCCAGTATTTGCAGTTCCGAATTTGCTCCAAATGTCTAAATTATTTTAACATTGCACAAGGCCACATTTCTGCACCCAAAGGTGTATGTACAGCTTTATTTGCATTGCTTTGTAAGACTTTGTGTTAAATGAAAGACTTTTACATCTGTAATGCTTGTGTGCGGTCTCATGGTGATAAAATGCCTATCCACTTCATAATTAAGGTTTACTTGCAGCCCAATAATCTGTCTCTGTTGCTTCTATCCTCCATACATCTCTTTCATTGAAAACAAACCCTATTGTCAGAAAACCCATAGCAAAGCAATACTAATTGGAAGATACTGTGTGTCACTCAAGAAAAAGAGCAATTTTTACTACATTTTAAACATTTTAAGCATGTTTGCTACATTAGTAAGTAAGAATCAAAGCTTATGCCTTTTTTGCATTTGATCTTTTGCATTTGTAACTGTTAAGCATGACTAGTTGCTGTTGGCATCAAGGGAAAAACCTGTCACATAACACTGTGTCAGCATGTCTGAATACAAAACATGAGCCTCTGGAGATTCTTTGGTTTCGTAGTATGTTAGTTTCTTTAATTGACTGTGGTTGCTGAAATTTAGGTAGACCTTGATTCATTTGAAAATTCAGAATCTTGTCCTAATGGCACTGGATGCCAGCAGGTGTCCTTGAAATAATCCTGGCACACCATGTTTCCAGTGTTTCCATTTAAAAATAATCCTAGAAGTAGTGTTTGGCCCTAACCTGGTAGCACGTGCAGAAGAAACTTAGCTGTGCTCATAGATAGTAAGGTTGCCTTATATTAGAGCAGACAATGTCAATGTCAAGGAAAAGAGGGTTCTAGAATAAGACAAAACCCAGAGGCAAGTAGATTTGAACAAAAGTGACATCATCTTTTTTTGTGTTCAATGTGTGGCTATTTGGAGGTAGCAAGACCACTCAAGTGTATAAGTAGCCTAACTCACAGTGATAGAACAGACCTCTGCCCCAAGACATCTAAGAAGTCATCTGTACTAGGACATGTTAGCACTACATGTTCACATTCTGCTATCTCTACCAATAAAATCACTCTTCATCCTGACACCCATATTCCCCTCATGTTACTGCCTTTCTTTCCTTGTGTATAACAATTCAAATTTTCACTGGATTGAACTTCTGTTCCCATGTAATTATATCAAAATAAAGGAACACATGAATACATGCTATAGGTTATTGTAATCTTGAATAACTTCCCACAAAATGGACTCAGAGGAAGAGTCTTCTTCCTGGGCTATGCCAAGGACACAGAAGAGCTAACTCAGCTGCTAAGCCCTTTGCACTTTTCTGAGAAAAACATGAACCTCCTTAAGGAGTGTTCATTCCAAAGTAAACTCTGACAAACTAAGTTTCATTGCAATCATCCTGACGACATGGTATCACTAAATTAGTCTGAAAAGTTCTTTCTTGTGGTTAGACTAAAAACTTACAATGCAGTATTATCTTTGCAACTAGGCAAAACATAGAAATTGAGACCCTTATTTTATTTATTTTTTTGTTGTCTGGGTTGTTATGAGTGGACAGATTATATGAGAATTCAATTCAGACCGTAGAATGCTTAGGGTATGTAAACAATGTACTATTAGACAGTAAATATATTTGGTTTAAAAGTGTGTTAGCATTTTTTTCCAGTATAATTTTTTTAAAAGTTGTGATGGAGAAACTCTTCCATCAGAGAACCTCTCCTATGAGGAAAGGCTAAGAGGATTGGGACTGTTCAGCTAGGAAGAGAAGGCTTCAGGGTGATCAAATTGTGGCCTTCTGGTACCTGAAGGAGCCTTCAAGAAAGGTAGAGAGGGACTTTTTACAAAAGTGTGCAGTGGCAGGACAAGGGGGAATGGCTTCAAACTGAAAGACACTGGGTTTAGATTAGATATTAGGAAAAAATTATTTGCTGTGAGACATTGGAACAGGTTGTCCAGAGAAGTTGTGGATGTGCCATTCTGGAAATGTTCAAGGCCAGGTCGGACAGTGCTTGAAGCTACCTGGCCCAGTGGAAGGTGTCCCTGCCCATGGCAGGGGCGTTTGGAACCCCCTGATGATATTTAAGGTCCCTTCCAACCCAGGCCATTCTGTGATTCTATGATAACTATGGCAATAGTGGGGAAAATTTTACAGGAGCCACATTTAACTTGATTTACAGCTTGTTCTGTGGAAAGGGTAACCATGAGGCAAAACCACAAAGGAAATATTCACACGTCTCTTATGTGGAGGACTTTCAAAAATATTCAGACCAGCTGCACTAATGCAACAATCATCAGATCATCCTGATTACATAACCAAATCAAATCTGATCATGGATGGTATTTAAGCATCTTTCAAAATAGGAAAAGGATTTTAAAAACAATTTTTAAGTAAGGGATTTTTTATAAAATGAAAAATTATTTCAAAATGTATTAGACTCTCAGAAGCTCAGCTTTCATAAAACAAGGTACACATGACATCTAGAACATTTCTAAGAAAGTCTACGGTTTTCTCCTAGGAAATAACAGGGCTCTCTCACTTGTTCCAATACGAAGATTTCCATAACAGAATTATGTAACAAGGCATGAAATGACCTTTCAATTGCAATTCTGCAGCCAAGCATCTTGTTATCTTCACCTCAGTGTAGACATCATTG